TGTATTTAATTACCTAGGCTTTTTAGTGCTTTTGTTTCCTGTGCTCCTAGGCCTGGCATTCCTTAGACTGCTGTCTACTTCTAAACAAGATATTTTATATACCAACCATACTTATGTTCTGTATATAGCCTTATACATGATTATTATTATTAATTTTACTCTGTTATTTTATCACTCGATAGTCTTTCTTTTATTTTATGGAATCGTTTAGTTTTTTTTCAATAAAGTTTCCTAATATAAACCAAACCTTATATATCTTTACATAGATAATGTCTGTTTATATTATCTGTGTATCTCTCCCTTTCTGTCATCTATCTATCCTCTATCTATAATTTATTTACCTGTGTTCATGTGCATCTGTGTACTTCACCTTTTTTTTCTATTTAGTTTTTAATTACCTTTAATATAGTATACTTTTTTTTCCTTTGTTTATTTCAAATTGTTCATTTAACAGATTTTTTTCTATGAAGAGACTGATAGAGGAAGGAATGCCTGGTGACTGACAAGTCACAGATTAATCTCTTTGTATCATTCAACTGTGATTACAACCAGGCAGTAAGAGTGACTGTACTCTTGACTCATCTGGGTGGCTCAGTTGGTTAAGTGTCTGACTCTTGATTTTGGCTCAGGTCATGTTCTCAGGGTCGTAAGCTCGAGCCCTACCTTGGGGTTTATGCTGGACATGGAACTTGATTAAGATTCTCTCCCTCTCTCTCCCACTGCCTCTCACCACCCCCTCTCTAAATCAAATCAATAAATAAAAATGAATTAACTCTAAGAGGAATTTAATGTAAAGGAAATAGAATAGAAAACCAAAGTCTGAGGCTTACCTTTCCTGAATCATAATTAAGGAACATAACATAAAGAAGCCACTATGACAGAATTTCACTGATAGGATTTAAATGATAACTAGGATAGGGAAATATTCAAGAATGAGATCAACAACATTTTATTCTGCAAAGGTTCAGATAGTAAATATCTTAAGCTTTGCAGTCCACAGGATCTTTATCTGCTATTATAGCATGAAAATGGTCATAGACAATATTTAAGTCAATGGATTTGGCTTTGTTCCAATAAACCTTTATGTAAATTTGAATTGAATTCCATATAATTGTTACATGTCACAAAGTAGTATTCCTTTGATTTTTGTTCTGACCATTAAGAAATGCAAAAAACATTCTCAGTTTTTGGACCATATACCAGAAAAGGCAATGGTATGAATTTGGCCTGGGGCCATTGTTTGCTGATTTTTACCTTGCAAAAATGAAAGAATATTTTAGGAAGAATAAATGTCTGAATAGCCAAATTCCTCAGAAACTATAACTCGAGAGCAGGCATTCTTGTATATTCATAGTTTTATTTCCAAATATAATTTTCACACTATCTTTCACATAGTAAGTACTCAATAAGTGCTTCCCAACAAGAAGTAAAGACTAATGATTGGAAATTCTGAGGCCACTGGTGATCTCTCCTGTTTTGAAAGAAAGAGGATGATGAAAGCTATTTGAAGTATGAACAATTTAGACTGAAAGGTCAGGAAATGGAGGTAAATTTCTAGACAGCTTGTTTAGTGTCTGAAGAGAATTGGATGATTGGAAGGGAAAGAAGATAAATCCAAGTAATGTTTTGTTATTCTTTCTTCTTAAATTGCAAGGGAATGTTGACATTGGATGTGACTACAATGACAAATTAAATACAGGACAGATCTTTCGGAAGGCAAAGGACAGTGGACAAATCTATGATTGGAGAGAAGGTTGAGAGGAGGGGATAATGATAGAAACTTACTGAGTTGGATGCAAGGAAAATGGAGGTGCTTGTGACAAATAACATTTGTCCCCGGCATGAATGACAGAATACGTGCTGAAAGAGAGACTATGAGGAAGAAGACAGAGAGATGGGAATTTGGAGATTTGAGGGAAATGCATTTTTTTTAAGATTTTATTTATTTCTTTATTCAGAGGAGAGAGAGAGAGAGATTGAATGAGGGGAAGGGCAGAGAGAGAGAATCTTCTCAAGCAGACTCCCCACTAAGTGTGAGTCCAACTTGGAGCTCAGTCTCACCACCTGGAGATCATGACTTGAGCTGAAACCAAGAGTTGGGGTTTCAACGGACTGAGCCACCCAAGCATCCTGGGAAATGTGTTTTTAATAGTCAATCAATACAATAAATAAAAATGGCAAAGTCCTATAGAAGATGAATGCATACATCCACCTAACTGACCTACTTATTTTCAGCAATCAGGTATCATCAGCATTGTTTTAAATGTTAAATCCAAACTAATATCATCACTAGAAACATCTTGTTTGCCTTTAAAATTTTGGAAAGAGATAATGTATACACAGGATGTAATTAAATATGGAAATTACCTAAAGGGAGATAGATAATTTCTAACTATGAACTATAATTTTCTTTTTCTTATTGACTCTTACCCTTATTAGTTCTAATATCTTATTAATTCCTTTTACTCTAAATTGTGGTACACATTTCTATAAAAAGTGACTTAATTAAACTTCTTGATATAATTCCTCACCATTTTCCTCATCAGTATGTATTATCTTAATTTTATTTTGCATCTTTGGTTTTTTTGAGCTCATCTTTTATCTCATTAAATGCCTAATGCTTGTGAAAAACATTCCTCTAAAATTCCCATCCATAGAAGTAAATATTAATCTATGTGATCTGAAAAAATAAAAGTGCCGTTGTAAAATGGAACCTAATAGACTATAATCAGAAATAATGGCATAAAGTGAAGCAAAGAAAACTCAGGGTGGCTGTCAGGAAACTTTTAATGGCTTTGTAAAAATGATTGTGAGGCTGATCAGGGACATCTTATGGAGACAGCATACAAATAGGAAATAATTCCCATCAGAGCAGTTTATTTTTGTGTTGAATAGTTTTGTAGCAAACAAAGGGGTGGAAATTGCTCCTGGTTCAGCAGTTGTTTCGCTGACAGTTATGTGTCAGGTCACTCACACTTCCTATTATTTTGGCAGATTTTCTTTGTAGCTTTTATACAACAGCAAAGAATTTATAAACAATTTCCCTGTGTTCAGAGCCTTTCATCAACCTTAGATCCCACTTTTTTTTCCCCCACATATTCATGCCTCTGAAGTACATATTTTATATTGTGCTGGATTCTCACAAAATAGGTTCTTATCAAAGATATTTAATATAGTTCTGAAGCAATATATTTGGTATAGAAAATAATGTTTCAGTGAGTTGATGAGTGAAACTGTTTTGTGCATGTGCTGAGGACAGAGTTCAGGTTTGTGCACCAGCTTGAGGGTGCCGTGGACATGACTCAGGATGACCCCACTGGTAATCTTTTTAAAATGGTAGTGGTACATCCCATGTAGTGGAGTTAATTTTCTACCTCCAGAACTACCAGAATCATGCATTAGATGTTTAGTTTTTAATTTGTTTGGTTATATTCTGGAAGCCTGGGAATAACATGTACTGTTTAAAGGAAGACACTATCATATGTTCCGGGTGTTTTGACAGTGCGTGGCAACTTCTGGATTGAATCTTAAAAATCAGTGGACACTCCAGATTCTCCCTGAATCATATCTGAAATTTGGAGAACAAAAACAGCAGACCACACATTGAGCTCTCATTTCAAAGTGCTCTGGTTTTTATATTATTTTCTAAACTTTAAGCAAAGAGAAAAACCACCTACTATGTTTGTGCTCCTTCCAAAGGTGTTATTATGGTATATCCATTTTAATTACTATATGTCAAATGTGATTTGTTGTCAGTATTATCTTTAAAAGAAATGCTTAGTTGTGTTGGTAATGTAAGCTTTGTTAATTGTAGTTCGTGATTATTAAATACAAATGGTGAATGGAATCTCTGCTGAAAAGAAATGTTTTTATTTGAATTAGAGAAGGAGAGTGCTCTAATTTAACAGTTACTAACTGGAGTATACAAATCAATAAATTAGATATTAGTAATCAGTGATCATACCTAAATCATAAGACAAATGAAACACTAGAATCATTACACACATATTTTATGTACAGATCAACAAATCTTTCTTCTTAGTGGTTTTCTAACTATAGGTAAAGTGAGAAAATTACAAAACAAAAAGATCAGTGAATAAAAGAAAAACCTGAAAGAAAAATAATGGGCTAAATGACGTTTCTTCCATTTGTGATGTGTCTACCAGCACAGATCACTGGGCCTATACATCCCTTCAACATTCACTTATTAACAAAATTCAGGATAAGAGGGAATAGAAGTTTTTATGTGTGTGTGTGTTTTGTTTTTGTTTTTGCCTCATTTATGGCAGTCTGGCACAAACAATATAATATTCAACCAGAAAACAATTATGGGTGAAGGAGTAGAATAATAATCTGCTTGGACATATTAAAAGATTTTGTAAAATTTGACCTTGATAAAAATTGAAAAATAAAATAAGCCTTCTGAATAACTACCTTTTTATAATTTTTCAAAGCTTCTGATTCTCCACAAATTAGAAAACTTTCAATCACTTCTGGTAGATTTGGTAGCTTTTGAAAAGATCAAGGACAGGGTATGGGGGCAGCCACTGATGTGATAACCTCTAAATATACTCCAGTGTGACATTTAATGTCTGGTAAAGAAGCTTGAGATTGGAGGATTTGAGAGAAAACTTTGAATTTATTATCTATATCTAAAGTTACTGAGTTATGAACAAGATAGTAACACATGAAGAGGCTATATCCTATTAGAAATAAGTAATTAAGAGCCTGATGAAATTTATATCAAAGGGTTATTTCCATTGATTTACATTTAAGGGGGTTGTTTAATTTAGTACACACACTATCTCTCTGTGTGTATATATATATATATATATATATATATACACATATATATGTGTGTGTGTGTATGTGTGTGTATATATATATGTTTAATTTTGATGCTGAAAGTAATAAAGCATCAAACATTAATTTTGCTTCTTATATGCCATATCCATCTTAATTTAAAATATTCACTTTTTCCCCTGTTTTCTAAATTATAGGATGAAGTCTGTCCCAAAGCTGAAGATGATGAAGTTCAGAGGTGTGTGTGGGCCTCAGCTGTTAATGTCAAAGACAAGTTCATTTATGTTGCACAGCCAACTCTGGACAGAGTCCTCATTGTTGATGTGCAGTCCCAAAAAGTTGTTCAGGTATGAACGATCCCTGCTTTTGAAGGCGATTTTTAAAAAAATATTTATTTTTTTACAATTCTTTACCAGGTAACTTGTACATTGCCATCTGATTGTCATTGATAACTTGTTTTATTACTTGGATAACTGGATAATGTATACATTTTCTGCAAACTTTCCTCTTAGTCTGTTGCTTGAGTTTAATGAATTAAAAAATAATTTTTCTTATTTTCAAAAATTAGATTCCATAAACACATCATAATATTAACATGATTAGTTCCACAAAAATCAACCTCAGATTTATCTATTCTGTTTAGAGCCAGGAGAGTTCCAGTCAGACGCTAATTAAGGTATTCCTAGTTACCATTCCAGAGACAGTATTATTTCTTCCTTACTTGATTCTTAACAAAAGCCAAGTTAATAGTAGACTGTTAGATAATAATAACTTAGTAGGTTTTACTATAGTAGTAAAACAAGGAATATGTATATAGGTCAATGACAGAGGGAAAAAAAATGCAAGTAAACATTGTCACGGTCATGGTTATAAAAAAAAAATTCTGGTTTGAGTCCCCAAATGTTTCATTCTCAGTTCTTTCCAAAGTTGTTTAACTTGGGCAGTCTATTTGTACTCCATTGCACAACAGCCAGGGATGGTATGGGATTTGCTTCTAGGTGGCCTGGCTACAGTAACTGGGCCCTTGACTCTTACTATAATCTCTTGCTTCTCAGATCAGAGGAAACAAACTTAAAACAGCTTTATTAGATATGCATAATCCACTAAATGGGATTAATAATTGTAAATATCTCATAAAGTTGTATTTAGAATTAACTTAATGCATATAAAACATTTATAGCAGATCTTGGCATATAGAAGTGATTTACATCTACTTACTATCAAAGTTTCTGAGAGACACTAGAAGCTAACCATTCCTTATATTTACCAAGATCTTTTTTGCATCCATATTGGTTTAAAATCTTGAATATTGAAGTAACTCCTCTAATGATTCCTGACTAGAACTACAAAAAGTGGCAATAAGTTCAAAGTTAGGGCTTTTCATTCTAAGAGTCCTTCACAGCTTCACATGATATCATCCAATCATCCATCTATCTATCCATCCACTCTTTGTATACTTATTAATTGCCTACTATGGATATGTTTGGTATGGCAAATAAAAGAGTGAAAAGCGTTTCTACCAAAAAACTCTGTTATCTCTGGTTTTACAAATTTACAGTGGATATTTAGTTTAATGGTTAAATTTCTAATAAGAGAGTGACTGGTATAATCATGAGGAAAAGGATCAGTAACTGTTCTACTAGAAAACTTCTCTAAGGCCTCTAGGGTTGCATGGTTCACATATATATCCAGTCTGATGGTTCAGTATCCACCTTGAGAATATATATTTTTCTGTATTTCACCTCTTATGTCTGAGACTTCTGGATTTTGACCAAGTTAATTTGATCTTGATTTCAGCTATAACATAGGCGATCAAATTATAGGCATTCAGTTTAGGATTATTTAGACTCTATAGCCAGCAGGTTAAAATTAGAAGTATGTTTCAGAAATAATCAAATTGGTAAATTTTGTTTTCAAACTAGAAATCTATGCTAATTATGTATTACCTACTAGATACTCAAAAGCGAGAAAAACTAATATTTATCTTCATATCATTTCCATCTTCAGACAACAGTATAAAATTTAAAATTTAAAATTAAATTAAAAATTAAAATTAATAGAAAATATTGATAATGAAATGTAAAGGTCACATAAATTATATTATTTTCCAAAGTGCCTCTAATTGCTATGAAATACCAGGAGAATGTAAAAGATAATATATAATGCTAAAATATTTTTAAAAATCATGTTTATGATATAATCATTATGAAGTATTTTTAGACAAAAATCTAACATTTACTTTTTTATAGGCTAGAAAATTGGGCCTCAGTCCAAATGAGTTCTTATGATCTTATTATTAAAATAATAAAGATGTTTTATTACTCCTTCTAGTCCTTAACTATTCATAGATAATCATTATGTATATTTATGGCACCATAAATAAACATTGACTGATTTTGAATAGTACATCAGTGGAAATATATAGCATTTACTATTTGTATCTGGCTACTTTGCTCTACATTATAATCATATGATCATTTTGTTTAAATGTAGGTGTAGTGTTATTCTTTCTTTGCTGGAGAGAAATCAATTACAGTTAATTATTTGTTGATTCTCATTTGAAAACTCACTAAATTTATTTAAGACCATAAAATCAATACTCATGTGGCTTTTGTGGTCATGCAAGGACATGAACAGAATGGTTAAAAATTTGTCACCCAACATACACATTTCTAGCTAAAGTTGAATAAGAAGAGACTCTGCATTCTTGTGTCAGTTTTTATACTGTAAACAAGTGTCCTTTTCATGGTCTTTTTAGTACTATGTGTTTTGCATTTTTGTGCTTTTGTTGGCAACTCTGTTGCTTAAAATGACTCCTAAGCACAGTGTTGAAATGCCTGTGCAAGAAGGCTGTGATGTACGCAATGGTAAGTTTCATTCAGCCATGAGTCCTAGTGTTATTTGGCTACAAGTTCAATGTTAATTAATGAACAATATATTTTAAATAAAGTGTCTTTGCACAGAAACACATATGAAACAAAGTTATCTATTGATCAGTTGATGAAAATCTTGAGACCAGAGGCTCAAAGGAACCTAAGTATATATTTCCCCTAAGAGCGATGGGTCAGTATTCAGAAACTCAGTGTTAGCGGTTACTTTATAGAAACAGCTACTACTGATAAATAATGGTCTATAAATGAAGTTGCAAGAAATAGTAATGAAAGTTACTTCATACCGATTCTCTGACACAATGTTAAGCTAATTATTAATAGCACCCATATAAATGCAAAATATTAATATCAATATCAAGTAATATTGATAATCATGATTAAATATGTTGAATCCAGATAAGGCTGTGTGTTTAGGGAATTTTGCTCCTTAATTAAAAAAAAAGTAATAGATTAATTTAACCAGATAATTTTAGAACTTAGCTGAAGAAAAGGAGAATAATCTGAATGCAAGAAGGAAAGTATAAGGATATGTATAGAGAGACACAAAGGAATTAATGTATAAAGGTAAAAATTAAGTTATTGAAAAAAACTAATCAAAAGGAAGCTGGGATTTTTTTGCAAAAAATAAGGACAAAAGTCATGATTAACACTATTAGAATTGAGTAAAAGTATATAACCACACTCTTAGCAGAGAGTAAAAGAAACTAAGAAAGTATTAAGGTAAAAAATTATGGTATTGAATTTTAAAAGCAAAATGGGAAAGAACAAATTAAAGGGAAAAGATGTTAATATCATGTAACCAAAATAGGAATAAAAAAGCAATCTTGATTTGAGAGTTCTAAAATAAAACAACAAAAAAAATATTCTGCCCCAGATGCGTTTAGAGGTGAAAGCTGACATGGTACTGATTTCCTGCTTTACCCCCTCTACCTGCTCTGGCTAGAGCCTCTGTATATTCTCAGATTTTCTATTACCAAAGACAAATCTAAAGCTTCTCTCCATGCACCTTGCCCCACACCACCATCTATCAACCTATTGCCTCACTTCCTACGGCCTCCTTCTATTTGGAGAACAGTGGGAACCAAGAATAACGTACTAGATTTGTTCCTATTGTCAGAAAAATATGAGAACTTAAACCGTAGCACAAAAAGGCAGAGTGTCATGGGGTTACTTGCACAGCTCTGGTGAGATGTGTGATGGAGTTGAATATTACCCTTCTGTCAATAAAAAGAAAAAGTTTTGAATCATAGGGGCTACTGAATACCTTACTGGAAAGAAGGGAAATGAAAGTGCAGCTGCAGTGATTTGGGACATTCTGCAATAATCTGTTCTGTAGAAATGCAGAGATCACCATTGTTTATAAAATGAAAATTTCCATACTGGGTAGAATCAGTTTCCTGTTCTTACTGATAAGAATACTAGTTCTCGAAATCTATTACTGACTGTAAATATCAACCTAAAATTTTAACTCTATACCACAAAAGATTGTCTTTTTAAAAAACTAAAATTTTCTAGGCTTTAATTTGTCTAAGTTTTCACATTCAAAGCCATGTATAATTTCAGTCTTTAGATAATGAATTTCATGTGTCTACTTACCTGCTGGGTGAAAGAACACTGCCTCATATTTGTCTTAACATAACTTAGAATCTGTTAATTTTAGTCCTCAAAAGTACACGCTTGAAGGTGAATTATAAATATCCTAGTGGTTCTATTTTCATATTTGAAAATACCTCATTTCTTAGAATTATAAATTCCCTCAAGGTTTTCCCAATTTAAAACAGCATTATAGATTTTGCAGATTTAGATATTGTACCCTCTGTTTTATAAATTAACAATCCAAGAAGTTCAAGTTTTAAAACTATTTAAAGAAAGAACATTTCTAGCTACTTAAAAGACTATACTGAAACAACAACAACTTTGTGATTTAAAGCTGTACTTATTGGGGTGCCTGGGTGGTTCAGTGGGTTAAGCCTCTGCCTTTGGCTCAGGTCATGGTCTGAGGGTCCTGCCATTGAGCCCTGTATGGAGCCCCATATCGGGGCTCTGCTCAACAGGGAGGGAGACTGCCTCCTCCTCTCTCTCTGCCTGCCTCTCTGCCTACTTTTGATCTCTCTCTCTCTGTCAAATAAATAAATAAAATCTTTTTAAAAATGAATACAGCTATATTTATCTGCAAGGACAGAGCACACTCAAAGTCAACTGCCAAGTACAAAGTTAATTTTGTAAAAAGTTAAACATTCTTTCTCAACTTGACCACTTTTCTCAACTGAAGCTAGGTTTAAGTCAATCTTTTTCGCATCCAAGTGAAGTTATACTTCTGATTGTGTGCTGTAGGCATTTATTTCTTTCTTTCAAACCTGAGTGTATTATACAGAAACAGCTAAGAATATTAACTATAACAGAAATTTAGTTAACCTTCTCCCAAACATGATAAAAAATGCCATGGAATTTTCTCT